TGGTGTCAAAATGTAGAGAAGACCTGCCCCTACAACCTAACAAAGCCGGATTTTTGAAAAAAAAAAATTAATTTTTTTAGACAGTTTTTTCGAAAAACCTAGATCAATTTTTTAGAAAACTCGAGTTTTTTGTAAACAAATAAATTGAAAACAAAAATTCTGGCTTTGTTAGGTTGTAGCACTGATATTTACCTTCATTTTAAAACCTTCCCGAGCATTCTAACATTTAAAATGGCGGAGAAATCTTTGACACAGTCAAAGAAAACGAAAAAAAACAGTTTCGAGAAAAACACAAAACAATTTTTTCTTTGATTATCGCGATTTTTTCGTTTAAAAATGGTAGTGAATAAACAAGAAGGCAGTTTATTATAGGTTATCGACTATGGCGAATCGTATGAGCACATGGAGAGATATGTGTGACGTAGTTTTTTTTACGTGTACGCGTTGGTCTCACGAAAAACCATCAAAAACCACTGGTTTTTGAAAAAATCTATAAAATTACTTGAATTTAATATGTATAATGAAACTAGTGTTTTGAATCAGATATTACGAAACAAAACATTCAATTTTCTGTTGCCGAGTAGGCAAAAGAAAATTAATGACTTATTCTTGTGGTTATTGTATAAAAAAACATACAACGAAATTCGCGGGTTCATGCTCAGTCATCACCACCTGGCTCGTAAGCATCATCCTCTTCAGTTTCACCTTCTTCACTCTCTATTGATTTCAATAACTGAAGTTTTCGAAAAAAAACATTTTTGATGTAGGGGTCTTCAGAAAAGCCGTTGTAAAACCCTCAAAACCCATCGAAAAACCAATAAATTATAGTGCATTCGAAAGTAGAGATAATGGGCTATCTTACTATGTATAAATCTAAAAACCGATATTTTTGTCGAAAATTCCTTTTTTTTTAGGGGTGGGGGGCCCTTAACAGAAGGATTTTTGTTTTAAATGTACATCTGTTACCAACACATTAGTTGCTTTAACGCAATCAGTTTTTATTTTATTATTAACAAGACTAAGTCAACATTTATATTTTTTTAAGGGAAAACATGAAGAATTTAGTCTTGCATTTGCTGGTATAACTGTTCATGATATGTTCAATTGGTTAAAAGTACTTATTTTATTATCAATTGAAATAATTTCGAGTAAATAAAGATTTTTGTTTTTGAATATATTTTAATTGAAATAAATTTAGATATGATATATCATTTAACTAATTCAATAACAAAATCAATAAATTTTAAAAAAAATACAAATTCTAATTCAGAATTTCTTACTGTTATAAGAAAACCATTAACTGAACGAATTGTTCAAGTATGTTATTTAAAATAAAGTTTTCTAATAAAGATGAACTGTTGTTTTTTATTAGCTTGATAATGAAGCAATTGAAAGTATAGCATTGGGTAATGCTAGTCCAAATATATCTTTACTAAAACGATATTGTTCATTTTAAAAGTGTGTGATTTTAATCGATTATTAATCTAATAGAATGGAACTTAATCCGAGTTTTCTTGTAATTTGTTTATCTTTGTTTATTGATATTTCTTGGAAAAAAATGATTAGCATAACACAGTACAGTTTTCGTGTATTCGACAGTCGATCAAAATTGTATGTTTATATATTATAAAAATTTTTTCTTTTTGGAGATGTTTCGTTCCAGAATCAGTTTCACTTGAGCAGTCCAGTCCGTTTTCGTCGAAGACGGATAGCCACTACGAAGATTTGGTGGAGACTTATTCATTGTTGGTTGTTCTTTTCTCTTTTGTCCAGATGTAGTCTTGGTTCCATTATCGGATAAAGTTTGATTCGGCCGATTAAGTGACGACAAAGTACTTGATGAAACAGCATTGGACGCTTCCTGTAGTATTGACATCGAGTCTGCTGTATGCATGAGACTAATGTCAGGTACATCAGGAACTTGATTGGCCTATGAACAGATAATAGATTATTGAACCATGTGAGTCAGTTTCTGCAATAGAATTTACTCACAATGTTGAATACGGAAGTGGACTTCGTATGGATTGTCATCAAGTTCTTATGATGGAATAATATCAGGAGAAACATTGAGGCTCTTTTCCATCCAAGACTACTGATAATCGATGCATAACCTTTAAGCCAGCTAAATAGTTGTTCTGCTGCTTGAGTATTTATGTTTACAAGAACTGAAAGCACAGTAAGTGTAACAAAAAAAACTCAAGAAAGTGAAAACAACTTACATGGATTATTGTCTGGATTCATATTAGCTCGACACCAAGATCCCACATGGTTGCGAAAATGTGTTCTATCTACACTAAATTTCACTTGAGCGAGCTCCTTTGCAGCATTTGTTGCAATCAGATCTTTACCAATATGGTTATGTAGATATTCAACCAAATGACATCCATCATCATAAACAGCTGTTTTAGGTATTACTCCCGATACTGAAATTATAAAGTTGATATTTTAATTTTAAATATAATCAGACATTAAATGATCATACCCTTTATACTATTTGTTAATAACTGTAGGATTTCTTTCAATGTCTCCGTCCTGAAAATTTCACCAAATGTAGTTACAATGCCACAGTTGCTTACCGCTGCTATTACACCAAAGCTTCGAGCACATTTACGTACATAAGAATCTGCTCTTGCTTTGCTAGTGCGGCAGCTTGTGGCGCCAAAACTTGTCTCTTTTCGTCGTCTTCCTTTCTTCAATCGACAAAAACGTGAAGGCATTACAGATTTTCGTTTACTCCTTCCTATTATACACTTTGCCGTTTCTGCAAGTTGATGAAGGTTACAATATTTAGAATAACGAAGTGGAGTGCGACAGCACCCAACAATCATTTTATCAAACAAATCTGTTTTTATTTCAATTTCCTTTATTCTGCAAACACGTCTTCGACACTTTTGATGACCATCAACTACTAATGCTTCTGAAGATTTATTTCCATTGCATGGCCCAAGTATTTCTTTGTGCCGAGACCAGAAATAAATAAATGACGTCAGAAAACGAGGATAAATACTCCATGCCCAGTCATCAAAATGGTCTAAGGATTTTGGTAAGTCAACCTGTGGAGTGCCGACGAACAAATCTAATTGAACAATGTTGTAAATGTACATCATACGCGCTAATGTTCGTCTGTCCATAATATGTACTTGATGCTGCTCACCATTAAATGCTTGTCGGTTTAAACTGTCGACAGTTTTCATCCACGAATTAGCATTAGTGATTAAATCGGCCGTATATTGCTCGATTAAGGCACGTTCATAAGCGTATTTACCACCAAGATAAACAAATTCACTATTGTATAAACTTTTTGCATTAATCGTTTTAGTGTCCCCTTGTTCTATAAAATTGGGGTAGATCGTCAAAGGTTTTGTGTTATTTCGATTGTTACTCTTCTTATGTTTGCATTTCAATGAATAAACAATGCCTTGAACAATCATATTAAAAAAAATTAAAATATTTTCACACTGAAAAAAAAGGAAAAAAGTCGATTTTAATCGGTTGTTTTCTGATTAACCCTTTATACCCTGTTGGGTCATTTTTGACCCATTCATACAAAGTTTTGCAGAAAATACAGGAAGCATGGTATTGAAAACTCCCAAAACAATATTGGTACAGAACTCCATAAGCTATCGATTGGTAAAAAAATATTTTGTTTCATTGCTCTATCTCCGAGATATATGACTTTCAAAATTATCGATTTTGAAAGAATTTAAGAATAACAAAATTTTAAAATAAAACGGTTTTTCATTCACACACAATAGGGATTTCGAGGCTGTATTATATCATCTATATCGACAGTAGTGTCTACTATTTGACTGAATTCGTTTCAAAAATTTCAGAGGGGCTTGGCAGATAAGAAATGGTAATATACCAGATGGATTCTGAAACGACTATTGAACAGAAAGAGAGAGATGGCGGATACCATGAATATATTATTCGTAAATCTTATCAGAGTAGCAGTCGAAAAAAATATTTATCATCGATTAAATGTCTTCATTGATGATATAATTACTTAAAGAAAAATGTGTATTTTTAAAAAATCTCTGTCAAAAATACATGTGGTGTTTAAAAATAGTTTTTTTATATTCGTAGCTTTTCTTTTTGGATTTAAATGTAATAAAAAGGAATAGAAAGCACATTTGTCTAATTAACACCGTCATAAACAAGAAAAGGAGTAGAGCTTTTAAAGCTGTTCCATCCCCTTCTCTGTCTCAATGGTCATTGTGGTTACCAAATTCCTCTGAACAAAAGGTAGTGCGCCTCATCGATCTGCCCATACCATTGGTATGTTGGGGAGACCAATACTCTATTTTTGTGGTAATTTTATCAGCGACTCTTCTGGAACCGCTTCAGGGTATAAAGGGATAAATGATTAAAATGACACGATTTCATCCTGATTTTAATAACATTATTTAATTTTTGATTTATTTTAATCACGATGGTTGGAGACTGAATCAGTCGGAATTCATATCGAATCTCAAAATGTAGCATGTGTCTCAATAATTGTCACAGTGATATACTGATTCTGTATTAAGTCGGTGAATCCGAAAAAATAATGAAAAGTTTGAGTTTCTCAGTTAAAACTTGAGAAAAGCACGTTTTTTGGTTATCGCAATTAAAATAAATTAAAAATTAAATAATCTGATTAAAATCAGATAAAAATCGTGTCATTTTAATCAATTTTGGACCAGAAAAAAATCGATTTAAATCAATTTTTTCTCCTTTTTTGCCATAGCATCAACCTATTATTAATACCTGGTAGCACTTTTCCACGTTGATAACAAATGTAAACCATCGTCTTATTACAATTTTTCATACTTAAATATTGATTACATACTTGACATATTGCTATAAATGGTTCCATATGATGAGCAGCAGCATCAGTCAATAAATGCCGTTCAATATTAATATGATGCCACGCTTGTGGTTGTCGAGTCCGATCCGAAAAGAAGTCAATAAGACCACGTACATGGTTAACATCATGTTCAGTTCCAAATGTTAATCGTAATTGTGACGTAATTCGTTCAACACGTTCAACATCATACATAGAATAGACATTATTTAGATGAACCACAAAAGTTATCTCATGTAGATAAAATTTTGTTAAAAATTCTTGAATTACAGCAATATGTTCTGCATTTGTTCGAGATACACCTGTTTCATTCGAACTCCTATCCGAAGCTCTCACCACTGATGTCATCTAAAATATAAAACTTCCAAAATTAATCCAATATGTTATTTCTAGAACTCTGACCGATATAGAATTTAAATAGGAGCTAAATACTAATTGATATCGAATTTAAAACATCTGTTTTAAATAATATCTAATCGATAAATATTAATTCAAATCGTTCAAACTTAAATCGTAATCAAACATGATACAATTAAGTAACATTAAAAACAGTAGAAAAGACCCTACTGTCCGGTTTTATTTAAAAAGTCACATAATTCATCATCACACACATATGTAGGATCATTTTCAAAACTAAAATTACTAAGAGAGTCTGTGTGGTACAAAATCTGCGAAGTATCCACATCAAATGACATTTTGTCGCTGTCATCTACGGCAACACATTTTAAATTTGAGCTCTGCTCTACATGAACAGTCCAAGGCGTTTGTGTAGCGACAGTGGATACATCCGTAATAGTTTGCGTGCTAACTGAGAATCCTTGGAATAGATCGTCGTCCGATGATCCATATACTGCATACTCCACGTCTTCGCTAATAGCAGATTCGTTGTCGACTTGTGATGAGACATTGTCGTCAATATCAGAGCATATTTTCATCTTTTTAAACTTGGATTGGCAATGTATGACACTGGTGTTAGCATTACTTTCCTACAAAAATTCAAAAAATTGAAGATCATTGAAACTAAGCGAGTACCTGTAAATTTTTATTTTCTTCTGCATACAGCATTTCTCGTGGCGACTGCAAACATGATGGTAAACGTTTTTCAGACTTTTGTGATTCGTCCCGAATATCCATTTAATTAATATAGGCTAATATGCTGCTAACTGTAAACAAAAAGGATTAATAATCCGTGCTTTATTACCACAGAATTTCGATCTAAAACAAAAAAAAAACGTAGTATCAAACTTTTTTCAAGTTATGAAATAACAGCTACAACAAAGTATTGTTAGACTACAAATCCAACAAACAACAAACTAAAAAGACAACAACCATTAAAACAGACCACATCATTGTTCTTCATATTTTTAGTTCAATTGATCTTATAAAGCTCAGCATACACTGGTACATGTGTACTGTATTTTTTCTTTACCCTAAAATAGAATAATTAATAGGATTTTTATATAAACAATTCATTATCAGATCTGTCTTCAAACCACGATCACTCTCTAGTACCAATTGGAGAACAAGCGAAATTTTGATTTTCTGTACTACTCACATTATATTCATGCACTTTTGCACCAATCTTGAATATTTGATTCTTCGCAGCTCCTGCCATCAAAGTTTCTTCAAGATTCGTTGTATTACACTAAAGGAAAATAAATCCAATAGATAAATAGGTCACATGTTAACTGACATCTTCTTTATATTGATGAAATATATCCGCACTGATCTCAAGCAAAGACTCAGCTGCATTTCCAAACATACACACATTTAATTCACCTGTACGATCAACAATGCAACACTAAAAAAAATCATACAAATATCGAGACATTTCAAATAAATTCACGTCATTTGTCGTCAATCAACATACTGACAGAGCATATGCCCATTTGAAGACCTTTTGCTCTGCCCTGCATTTTCTGCAAAAATATGAACCATTTCCTAAGTTATCTAATTTTTTGCTACAGTTATCGACTGGACAACACTGAAAAATGCAAAATAATGTTCAATCATACGAATAAACCTTAGTAAAACTATTGCACCATATAAACTGCATGATCTTGATCGATCACACTACAATACCCTTTAACATAGAAATATTGAACATTCTTATGTTTCATAATATCACGCTCTATCGCCAACACCTGCTCTATTGTTACGATACTCCCTAAAATAAATATTTTGACCATACAAGTATACCATAAACATCTCAAGAACAATAGAAGAAATGTACATTCCGCTTGACTTGTAGTTGTCAAACAGGATACATTGAAATTTTGACCACTTGATTTGCGTAATGTTTCTAATTGAATTGTACGATTTGTTTTTGGAAGATTGAATCGAATGACCGTTGAATCAATGCTTGATAAGCTTCGTCCTATAAAACATAAACGCATAAGCGATCATAAATAAAAATTTATGTCTCGCACTTCTAGGTCTTCACTGCCATCATGTCAACAATTGTAGTAACACATTATGATTTATAAAACACTATCATGAAACACTGGCTAACATCGATAATCTTAATCAAAATTTTTCTGGAAGCTTTATATACTATTTAATGTTTCTCATTAGAGCATTTTATTATTCAAAGAGCAAATCTATTTTTTTTGAACACTATTTTTGTCATAGAATCACATAAGCGGTTTCTCCAAGTGCAAAATTTTTCTCCAACTTTAGTGCTACTATTCTGCACAATTAGTAATAATCATAACTTTAGATTTACCGTAGAAATCACATATTTTGGCACCTTTGATACCAATAATAGAGCGTATAGCATTGCCAAACGCTTCTGCCTAGTTTAAATGAAAATATCGTAGCGCTACATAACAATTACGTAAAGTCACCTGTTTTTCCCATAATGTTAACATTATTGAAGCATCTTCATCACTGATCATAATGTCTCTTTTGACACAGTATTTTCCCTTATATTTATTATAGAATGTCTTGCATTCATCAATGCTTGATACAACTCCGATTATGTCTTCAAAAAATTAATTCATAATGGTATATATAATCACTTTTCAATGATTATTAATGTATTCTTACCACAAACAGTGTTACTTGTTCGCAATCTAATTTCTTTGATTGGAATAAAGTTAAAAACGATATCATCATGAACTTCGTCTTGTTCTTCACATATATCGATCACTGTGTCGAGCTTCAGAACCATTTGGTACATATGTGTGAACGAATTAAACTTCTGATTCGCTGGCACTATGCTAGCTTTGGATATGAAATAGGTCTATACGTGAAAGTATAATATTATATATCTTCTAATTCTTGTACTCACTTTTCCAATCTCCAGCTTTGTATAAAATTGTTCAGCAACATGGTCAAAGCCAACCATTTGAATTTCACCGGTTCTATCGACCAATCCAACACTAAAGACCTTACCACTTCTATTTGCATTCGAATATTCACGAACGTAACTCTTATCTGCTACACGAGCCTTGATTGTCCACCTATAAATGGAGATATATATGTGATTTAAAATCAAAAGTGTTAAACAATTTCAACCCTCATATTTTCATTTAATAAATTAAGACCACTAAAATACAGCTACGTTATGTGTAGCTCCTAATTCTATTCGATTAGTCATAATGAATCTCATATTATTCAAATCAGACTTTGCCTATCCAAGGTCAACCCGTAATCAGTTTGAAAAAATTGCAAAAATCAATAAGCTTTGACCAATTATGACATTACTCTTTCATGTTATTTTAAGATAGACAAAAACATCTTTCAGTATAGTGTTATACACACCCGCTTCGAAATGGATCAAGATTATTGATGTTACAAATTTCTGTTGTATTCAATTTAGATTCTGTAAGAAGCAATCTGAAAATATTGGTATCGTCTACTTGCGATTCACAATTGGAAATCAACTTAGCTGTAGCACACTCAGCAACGTTTGACGAAGATCGAATGATTGGAATATCTTCGAACATTTCACAAAATATTTTTTTCTTGATATGCAAAAACGACTTACTCAATGGAGTAGTCGGTGCCTGAGTAATATTTTCATTGTCTGCAAAAATACAAACAAATTATTTACGTGAAATAGTTAAAAACCTGGCGTGCTTCGTTTCACAAGATTTATAGCATAGCTTTTGTCATACATACTGAGTTGAACAGGATTGCCAATTTTCTCGCAATCACTTAATACCACTGTTAAATCACGAATTACCAAAATTACTCTAAAACAACAAAAAACTTTAAGAAATGTCTTACTCTACGTTCTATTCATCATATTATGTACCGTTCACCATTTACACCAGCACTGCAAACATCCACCTGATTCACGCGTACGACCGAATTATTCTTCAAAATATCATTTTTTACTAAATCGATCATATCAGTCCCGAGTACGCATGCTAAAGGACCAATCAGATGAATATATATATAAGTTCAGAAACACAACATTTTCTTTCACAATGTATTGAATCACTCACAACTGAAAAAATATGTACCATCTGACAAAATAAGCCGATAACGTTCGTCTGTCAATGAATTATCTGTTGCTTTCGCCTTGATCAATTTCACACCCTACATAAGCCAAAAAGATAGTAAATAATAGCCTAATTAACTGAGTGAACATACCAACACTTGGAGTATCGCACAATATCCTTTTTTACCTTTAATATATTCCTATAAATTGAAAATTTCTTATCAATCACTGTTATGAAAAATAAAAACTCACATTGAGACCACCAAGTGTAAGTCTTGGAAAATATTCACTCATCATCGATATATAAGAACAATTAGTTATCTAGAATGAAACATATGAGGGCAAACCCACCGGATTTCTATCACTTTTCTGGAAAATTTTGTTTTTCGATTTTGCCCTTCCAATTAGACGTGTAGTCGTCGAAAATGGTTTGTGAGGAAAAAGAAAATTTTTTTTTATGCTGAAAGTTTGGAGAACTAATTCATGATTTAGAAACAACGCGGCTTTTTTACTAATATATTTTCAGTTTAAAACCAGAAATATTTAGCGGAAAAGCCGAGTTGTTCCCAAATAATGAATCAGCTCTCCAAACTTTCAGCATAAAAAATTTTTTCTTTTTGCTCACAGACCATTTTCAACGACTATACATCTAACTGGAAGGGCACAATCGAAAAAAAAAATTTCTTTTAAAACACTCGTACGGGATTCCACGTTTTCTCGAAAGTGGTAGAAATCCCATGGATTTACCCATGATTAGAAACATAGGTATTCTAAACCATAGGGTATGTTTCTGGGAGCAGAACATATGACAAACATAAAAACAGCAGAATAACAAAAAATGAAATAATGAATGATTACGTATAGTTTTCATAAATCAACAAGAACATGAATTCGAACAAAAAAATATGAATGAGAAACAATAAATCAAATTAATCGAAAAGTTTCATGGGAAAAAGTTTATTATATGCAACGTATTAGAACATTGCTCTTGGCAATCGTGTTCGACATAGACGCCCGGCAATTGGAGTCGTGTAGCTGGATTCATTGTGATCATCATCGATACCGTTTATATTAGCATTCTTTTTCGATTTTTTTACTGCATTTCCCGAATTTCCATTGTCGTTGTTCCGTGATTTCAAGCGTTTAAGCTTCAATAGAGGCCATCTTTTTCCTGCACCTCGATGTTCAATGTCTGATGATCGATTTTGTTCTACTGAAAAGTATCATTACATATTTATATATTCTTTTCATTTATATAATTGAGAAAAAAACACATACCTTCATAACGATTATCACACTCATCAGTTTGAATTTTCTCTTCCGTTTTTTTTGCCGACGCCACTGGTAAAACTTCGAAATCTATGGATAACAAATTATAGATGACAACGTTTAAGATAGACACTTTTATTTACCAATCGAGGATCTATTTATCTGAATATCTTGATCTTGATTACATTCATCATTAATATGAACGTACCCATCAATTACTATATCTGAATCTACCAAGAATAAAATACAATCGAAGGCAACTGCGTTTTATTTTTAATCGCTTCGAATTACCTGTCAATCTCAAGCCATCATATGTACTTACGCTTATGAATTCATCAACTGTCATAAGTTCTATCGATGGAAAATACGCGAAATGGTGACAAACAATGAAAATGTAACTTACCTGATGTAATAAACATTTGTTCATCAACTTCAACATGATTATCATTATTCTCAACCGCTGACACTGTTGAATCTTCATTTTGTAAGAAATTTTCATTTACATCATTATTCAACGTGTAGTCTATTTCCAAAAAAAAAATATTCGAAAATTTGAAATCAATCATAATAAAAAAAAGAACTCACTGTTCAAAGGCATATCATGATCACGATTACATGAAAAATTTTCATTAGCACTGGTATCATTACTACTTGTATCATTACGACTTGTATCATTACTACTTGTATCATTACGACTAGTATCATTACTACTTGTATTATTACTACTTGTATTATTACGACTTGTACCATTACAACTTGTATCATTAGCACTTGTATCATTAGTATTTGTATCATTAGTATTTGTATCATTAGCATTTGTATTCAAAATAATCGGTGCCGTATTTCGTTCTCCAACACCTATTAAAACAATAACATGAGTATTAGTAAAAGATCTGAGAAATCATTCAAAAGCTACTGAATAATCTGAGAAAAATAACTTTTTGCTCAACTTTATTATATTTTATCAAGAAGTTATGGAGACCTTACCATGATGTAATACTGTGAGATCCAAATTTAAAGCTTTGTATTGAGGCCAGCTAAGAATTTCAAAAACACTCTGGATAGGACGCTTTTTGCAGGAGTACTTGACTTTTCGACATGTATCAAGAACCGTTTGCATTGTCACAGACGGGTTACCTAAAGAAGCCAAATTTTTGATAAATTTTTGACATTCGATATCTGATGTATGGTCTGGCAACGCTTTAATGTAAACTGTAACTGATTTTGTACCAGGCTCTGTTGCACGATCTACTTTAATCAAAAGTTCTTTGTTGACGAGATCCTCACACATATCTCGTAATACAGCTGCACCATTTTTCAATAGCCGACATTCATAGAGAGTTCGTAAAGTGAATAAGACCGAATCAAACAGTAATATTGCTTGTTTCATTTCGAATGATTTTTTGCCAAATTTCAGGCGCTTTTTAGCTTTTTTGTCGATGTCATTTATCATCAATGGGTCAACTGGTTTATTTAAAGTTGACAAAAAATGAATACCTTCATGTTCAGGAATAAACATCAATAACTTGTATTGCTCTAAGTTGCCAGAAATAACATCTATTGCACGCTCAACAACATCAATTGTTATATAAAAGCTTCGATTGTTTTCAATAGATGAACCATAAAGCTCAAAAAATAACAATTCACATTTAGTTAAAAATTCATTTGAAATTGATTCATCTTCAAAGCCACCATGTCTTTGAACAAATGCTTTAACCATATCCGATGCGAATTCAATAATTTGACATAGACCAGCAAGTCTATGCACTGCATCAACCGATTTACCGAATCGACTAGCCAAATGATCATCACGTTCTTCCATTGCTCCTATAGTATAGTTACTTGAAAAAATGGCATATCTAAAATACCTACATAGGTCTTTATTTCAAGGCCTGCTAAAAATTTTTTATCCACAGGAGAAGATTCGCACAAACTTCGCATTAAAATCTCATTGCACGCATTGGAAGCAAATCCAATCTGTCTTAATTCTTTCATCAATTATTTCCAACCTGATTATTCTTTTAACTAAATTTACTCAATAAAAGGCAATTTATCGCTATATTTCGCTATTCAAACAAGATAATTCATTTTTGAAAACACAGGCTAACAAATAAAAATAGCAAATACTCTAACAATAATTAGATAAAAATGTCTTTAATTCTATGAGACGAAGATAAAAATGTTACTCGGTTTTTCAAACACTACAGAAAATATTCAAAATTGATTATATTCTACGAGAGAATGCACGATAAACATAGAGTTTTAGCAGATGCGTCTGAAAATGCAAATGAGTGTTTTTAACATAACAACATGGAATGAATCTAACAAATCGGTCGAATAGGCGTTCCAAGTGCAATCCTTTCAAAATAGTAATATTTCCGAGCGAGCACATCACCTATAAAAAAAGTTACCATTTTCAATTATTCATTTATCTCGCTTTTTTTAAATAAATTATTTGAATTTCTCTGAAAAAATATCACGAATTCATCGAAGTCAGAGTTTATGAGTTGCACTCTCTCTCGCCTAATGTGGTTGCACTCACAAGTTTTCTAGATAATTATAAGAGACATAGTTTCACAGATTATTCTTGAGATCGATTAAAATCACTTCAATTTTAAATCGATTACTTCTATTATTTTAGAGGCAATAGACTTCAATAGATTGAACGTGAAATCAATAAAAATCGATTTAATTTTTAATTGATTATTCAGCCTATTCTAAATCAAAAAGGTTTCAAATCATTATTCTAGAAACCAATTAAAACCGATTCGATTTATGATCCATTAATTGAATAACTCTGAATGGAAGAAATTATAACCAATTATTCTTGGGATCGATTGAAATCAGCTCGATATTTAATCGATCACTTCAATTATTCTAAACTCAATGGATAATAACAGAGTATTTTTTAAATCAATTACGATCTATTGAACTTTTAGTGCATTATAGAGGTTATTCTAAACAAAATACATTATATCAGATCATTCTTGAAATAAAATATATCAACTAGATTTTCAATCGATTACTTGGATTATTCTGGACGAAATAAATAATATTAGATTATTCGTGACATTAACCCTTTGACTCCCGGCGACATATATATGCATCCAAACATTTCTTATAAAAATTTAGATTTTTGCAGAAAAAGCTGGGAGTCAACGGATTAAGGACTAGCGCGGCAGATAGATCTCGTCGAGCTCTATCGAATGATGTGTCTTTTAATTCTTTGACGTTCACCTTTTGTTGCGAAAATCCAAATTTTTATAAGAAATGTTTGGACGCATATTTGCGTCGCCGGCAGTCAAAGGGTTAATTATAATGTACTAAACTTTTAATCGATTATTAAGGTTACTCTAAACAAAATAGATTATATCAGATTATTCCTGGAACCCATTAAAATCTACTGGATTTCTAACTGATTGATCAGGTTATTCTAAACCAAATCTATTATATCAGATTATACATGAAATAAAATATATCGATTTATTTTTAATCAATTATTGTGATCATTCTAAACGAAATACACTATATCAGTTCATTCCTGAAATCAATTAAAATCTATTAGACTTTTCATGAATAATCTCGATCATTCTAAACGAAATATATTATATCAAATAGCGCTTAAAATAAAATAAAATTGAGTAGACTTTTAATCGACGATTACTATTATTCAAAACGAAATAGATTATATAAGATTATTCGTGAAAATCAATTAAAACCGATTACACTTTTCATGAATATTACGATCATTCTAAACGAAATATATTATATCAGATTATCCCTAAAATCTATTTCAATCTGTTAGGCTTTTATCGATTATCACAACTATTCTAGACGAAATAGATAATAACAGACCATTCATTTAATCAATTAAAATCTATTAGACCATTTATAGATAATCTCGATCATTCTAGACCAAATATATTGTATGAGATAATGCTTAATATAAAATATAATCGATTAGACTTGATCAATGATTACTCAAAACGAAATAGATAACAACAGATTATTGATTCAATTGATTACAACCTATTGAACTTTTCATCGATAATTTCGATCATTCTAAACGGAATATATAAAATCAGATTATTTTTGAAATCAATCAAAATCAGTTATGTTTTAAATCGATATAACAGATTATTTCTCGGTAAATTGGGTTTGATTGACTGATGCCTAAAAAATTCTATTTCAATCTATTATTTCGTTGAACTCAATCAAAATGATTTATGTAATCGAATGTTCGTGATTATTGTCGGAAAGCCGATTCTAATGTGATCTTTTGACCGTGTTCCTCTATATGGGGATCAATCCTTCGTCTCAAACAAAAAGAAAAAATAAATTAGTATTCTCAGTGTGTTACAGTACCTTGTCTTTTAATGAAGTTGCACCACTCAATCATTCTGAGGTTAGAATCTTCATTGAAACGCATCTCAATGCGTTCAAAAAAGCTCATAACCACAGCAAATTGTTGAATTGTGGGCCATTGAGAACAGTCCCAATCTGGACGATTGATTTCAGTGTCTATGGTGTCACCAGACAACACCCAAAATAAGAAGCGTTCATACAAGGCATCAGCAAGAGTATTTTGAGCTCGTCTTGTGATCACTCGCTGAATTAATTCACCAGTTAGTCCAGCCTCAAAGAAAAATATTTTTATTTCATAACAAGCTTTTTAAACTTACTAGTATGTTTAATTTTGAATCACTAACTTCTACGATAGAATTCTTCAATCTTTTTGAATATTGTTCAGGATGATCATATAAATTGATGAGTTGAGCTCGGCAATCATCCAGAACAGAAGAATTACGACCTCCCACAGTAGGCGACAGGAAAGCTCCCATACGTTGTAAAATAACATCCCCTTCTTCTGTCATCAACATTCTTGTACATCCTTTTAATGAATCTAATACACCAGCCGTCGTTGCTTCGTTAAAAATAACACGAATATGATTCGAACCATTCAATTTATCTCCTACTTCTCGAAACTTCATTGGTCTAGAATCTCGAACAGCTAAAATTGACGATTGTACCAAACCTAACATTGGACTTTTCCCGTATGCTAAAAAGACAATCATGAATAAATAAAATATCAAAAGACGACATCAGAAACACATACAACTTTTTGCAACAACACAGTTATATAAATTCAACGGCTTTTTAAATTGATTGGCTCTAAAAATATATGATTGTTCACAAGTTGTAGCAGCTATATTGATCAGAACGATTGGAATAGCATCAGCATGCAGCTGCCAAAATTTACCAATTTCATTACAATATTTTGCCATATTGCTGCTAAAAAAAATGTCCGGATTCACCTTTATTTGAGAAGCTAACATTCGATTTTCTTTGAAACGGTTCGTGAAATTATTAGAGATCATCATTGTCATAATCTAGAAGAAAAATATATCCATAATGAACAGATCACCACAAAACTCAGACACAATATGACTCGAAAAAATATTAGCTCTTATGCGATGATAAAATCCTATCCTTTCAACAATGATGGACTCAATGCTTAAACAATACAGCAACAGGATCCCAAAGATGGGTCTGGAGTTATGTAGACCTTCATGTTTTACAGATGATAACACTTAGAAATAGAGACAACCTCTAATTCTCGAGAAAAATACTTTCATAAAAAACGTCCGCTAATAAAAAAAAATCAGTTGGTCCATTATAAATGTAATGTATTTTTCGATTTTATTTAAATCTATTCAAATCTATCTTATATTTATCTGAATGAGGCAGTTCATATGAAAAACAAATCCTGAAGAGAACAAAAAAGTTCGCTGAGAAATAGAAACATCCTCTTGTTCATCATATATCTGTAATAGACTATTCCTTTGATTTGAATTTATTCAATCGTTTCTTATATTTATCTCGAGAAAAAAAATCATATGAAAAGAAAAATCCTAAAGAAAATAGAAAAGTTCGCTAGAAGAAAGAAACATCCTTTTGTTCATCATATGTATACAAAAAAATATTTCTTTGATTAAATCTATTTGAATGTTTTTATATTCACCTCGATAAATAAAATCATATAAAAAAAAAGTCCTGAAACAAATAGAAAGGTCCGCTAGAAGAAAGAAACATCCTTTTGTTCATCATATATATGCAAGAAATTATTTCTCTGATTAAATCTATTCAAATGTTCTTACATTCACCTCGATAAATAAAATCATATGAAAAAAAAAGTCCTGAAGAAAATAGAAAAGTCTGCTAGAAGCAAGAAACATCCTCTTGTCCATCATATATATACAATAAATTATTCCTTTGATTTGAATTT